CTGGAATGTCAATACTGTACACATAAAAGGACTTTTAACAGCATAGTACTCCGAGTGTAGCAATATTCCTCAAAGAATAGTATTCCAGTAAATCCACGGGATTTGCATAATCCTGTACTTCATATAATGGAGCCGTTAATCTTATATCGGAACACTTCACATGATGCTAGTCCACAGATAGTCCTACTCATCATGGTACACCACTCCATACATAGGAGTACTGCTCTTCAAATAAAAGTATTATTCTCAAAAAAGAACTCTTAATATAACAATACTCCTTGCAAACTCGTACTGTTCCAATAATACTACTCCCAGGAGAATTATACTCGTCTTGCCATAACACTCCGCAAGTAAGGAGCCCTTTAGTATAATAGCACTCGAACTCATCCATATAGCTCAACTATTAGTACTTTCATATAACGGTAGTATGGGAACATCTGCACTCTTGACCATCGAAAATCTTGACACATCAATAATGTTCACGCAATATTTTTCGTGGAATATCCATGTAATTCATACAATAATGTTTCTCATATAATGAAAGCGTGAACCCTGAATCCTTCGCATAAACTACTACATGGACATCAATACCCTTCCTATAACAGTATTATACGTACATCCTGGGACTGCACCTCCCTTAGAGATGCAAATGACTATTCTCCAAACAAGAGTATCCCAGGCGGAGTTGTCCTCTTCATGTAAAGAAAAGATAAGGAGGTCGGTATTTTGCACAAATGAGTACTACCAAGACGTCCGTAGCCTTCCTACATTAACACTGCCGGAAAATCATTACCCTCGACGCAATTCTGCTCTTCAATTAACACTCTCATCCATGTAACACGGTCATTCACCCAATAACACTCCATGAACATCATCACTTCTAAAGTAATAATACACAAGGAATAAAAGTGCCCTTTCACACATGGGTATACTATTCCTGTTTTGTAATGCTACAACATCGGTATGGTTATGACATTTACATTTCACATAGGTGAGAATCCTCATAGATAGTTCCCAGAAGAAAATATGCTGATAACGATTCCAAATAGAGGAATAAAAAAATACGTCAATCAGGATATTAGGGAAGAAGAATTCTAATAAACAACAACCACGTACAATACGACATAGCAACAAGGATGTAGCCACAAGGGCACTTTCAGAGGGATCCAGCTGAAGAAAAATTTTCACAATAATCGAGGCAAAAGAATATCTTCAAAAGGACGAAAGAAGAAAACGTCGGGGAGCACCCAGGAGGAGAAAGAATCCTCATAAAAAAATAAACAACGGAAAAACATCTTAATCATGCCGCGGAAAACGGGCATCTTCATAAAGGAAATCACAAACGAGAGGACATATTCGAAATGCCGCGAAAAAGGGTACATCATGATAAAAAAAATGACACAAGGGAAAACATCTTCACCAAGGCCCAGCAGGAAGAGCATCGATATAAAACAGATGACACAAAAAAATATATTCAAAATACCGCAGGAAAGGAGCATCATCCGAATGTCGCGGAAAACATGTATCCTCATAAGAGAAATGCCTCGCAAAAAAATCCCTTCGCGACCACATCCTAAATAAAAAAAGCATATTTATAAAGAAGTCAAGCAGAAGAATATCATCGATATAACGCGGTAACAGGAATCTTCGTTAAAGATATGCCACACAGAGGAAAATTCTCATAATTGACATGGCAGGAGGAACCTCATCAGGGCATCCGAAGAGAAAGCTATCGTGAGAGAAAAAATGAAATACAAATAGGAATCTTCATAGTGCCACGGCCAGAGAAACCATCTCTATAAGAATGACGAGCAAAAGAATATATTAAAAGTACTACGGGGTAAAATGAATCTTGCCAAAGAACAAACCCCACAGAGAAGCTACACCTCACCATGACCAACCCTAAAGGAAGAGAAATTCATAAGAATGGAACAGGAAATATCATCCTGAAAAAGAGGCTACACACAAGAACGTCTTCATATTGACGCAACAAGAAGGATGTAGCTATGCCAGAATGTGAAACAAAGGAGCATTATTATAATGACATGCGAGATCTAAGCATCCTTAAAGGAATGCCAAACAGAGAAGAAGCATCACAGCGCCGCAGCAGGACCGTACACATCATATTCTGACGTGAAACAACAGCAGCGCAATGATCCGCAGGGAGGGCATCATAAGAATGCAACAGATAAACGCATCTTCATAAGAATGCCAGGGGAAGTGGTATCTTCATAAAAATGCTCCGGAAAATGTCATCATAAACAAACCCTTCAGGAAAATTCCGTCAAAGGAAGGGGGCAAATAGGTGTATCCTTATGAAAGAATTAAATAATGAAATATACATAATGAAGCTAAAAGAAACAGCGCGCGTGCAGCGGATATATAATACATGAAACCACCCCGCCGAAAATTGATCCACATGAGAGGACTTCGGCAAGGTTAAGCCACATTAAGCCACTTCCGGGAAAATCAACCCACATGGACGTGCGTCCTGGAAAATTAGGCCAAATTAAATGACGTTTGCGAAATTACCCAACGTCAAACTACATTCGCAAAATTAGGACACATGAAGGAGCGTCCGCAAAAATTAGGCCACATGGAGGGGCGTTCGCAGAAATTACGCCACATGGAAGTGCGTTCACAAAATTACCACACGTGAGAGGACGTTCGCGAAATTAGGCCACATGAAACCACGTTCGCAAAAATTACGCCACATGGAAGTGCGTTCGCAAAATTATTCAACACGAAACGACGTTCGCGAAATTAGTCAACATGAAACGGTGCTCGCGAAATTACTCCATGTGAAGCGACGTTCGCAAAATTTGGCCACATGAAGAGGCATATATAAGAAAAAGGCGCCATGAAGAAATACTCTCATAAAAATGCAGAAACATGGGAAGGACCCTCATGAGAATGATACAACACGAGCGCGCATCGACAGACACTAGGCAGCATGCGGATTGATATGCAAAGAAGTTGCGATATGAATTAATACACTTATAAAGATGCAAAGACATGAGAGAACATACACAGGAAGAATGCGTCGTGCGGGGGAATGCTCTTGAAGATATCCAAAAATCGAAAGGCACACTCAAAGGAAGCATGGGGCATGGGAACGCATTCATAAAAATAAGATAACTATAAAATGAGCCATTCAAACACCACGGCCCCCCAGCTCACGCTCTGCCAACCAGATTCGCCTATCTTTACTCTATTGCACTCAGACGAGTTTCGACGGAAAGGCATGAATACATTTAGACTCTATAACAGCCCTTTTAATTGTATGCAACAAAGAAGTAAAGTTCAATATAAAATTACAACTCATATTATACCATTTCACTTTCAACAATCCATTACTCCCTTTATATATGCATAGATAAGACACGTCATGAGCAATCGTGTAATTCTAAGGGGCACATTTCTATGCCAAATGAATAATCTTCCAATCCGAATCTGCATATAATGCTAACTATCCTTTCCCCTTAAATATGTCTACAATCAGTAGCATTCCTCTCCTTTTTCGTTGTATTCTTGGGTACCCTTTCTCTGTAGGACGCCAGATGGGCATGATGATTCACGAGGTTAACATTTCTTATTTTTATGACTGATGAACTAATCTCACATATAAGAACGAATGAATATACATATAAGTATATCCATGGGTATATGTATGTCCCATGCTAAGGTGTAAAGAGGTCAACAAAACATAGGCTTTTATCAATAAATCATAGCAATGTATAGAGGCGTGTAAATTACCTATATCTCTTCGGTCAATATGGTTCCTCTGCCTCTCCAAATTGTTGTACCCTCAGTTGAAACCCATAATCCAAATTCGCCTAACACCTTCAAATGAGGAATGCCGTCTGTTCCTCTTTTAGTTTATTACAATTCATGATACGAGGAATGGAAAACCCAATTATACTTATACATATCTGTTATTCTCAGTTTCTCCTCAGGATTCAATACTGGAATTCTTTCTTAATTTCTATGATTTATTTGCGGTAATATATTATAAGCACCCCCACAATTCCTTCACTGTCTTTGTCCCCTCTTGTACCATATATATGTGGGGGTAATCACAATCAATTGGGGCGTCATTATGCTCGTTATTAGCTATCCATGTCAGTTTCCTTCTGATTCACATACATTGATTGCGCTGTAGGCCCGGTTTTTCTACATAGAAACGTAATACTGGTATTTTTCTGTGTCTTGCTCTGTTAAATTTTGCCCATAATAGGTAATCCTCTCGACGAAATTAATCAACCCGCGTTAGCATATTCCCAGTATTGAACGGCTCCTTTAACCGGTCAAGAGGAATCCTTAAATAGAATTATTGCAATATTCCGTCTTCTCATCATTCTATTGTACGCTGAAGAATGCTTAACTCTTATTCTTCACAGTTTTACTTAATTCGATTCTGTTAATCCTTCTATTCAGAATTAACGTTTTCCCTAATTAATATTAAATTCATGTAGCAACAGATTCAACGATTGCATTAAGATTGGCATAAGATCCACAGCTCATTTTAGAACTCAATACTCAGGGGGGTATGGTTCTCTCAGAATATATCAGATTAACACGAGTGAGTCCCGCATCATAATAAGAGATAACTACTCATTTCGTGAGTAAAATAGTAATTGAATAATTAGCAGAAAGGTCTTCCACTGTTCGTTTCTGACTTGAGGGAATCATGTATTCTGGATAGACATGGATTCTTACCTGGGTTTCCACTCTGCCATCATAGTTTCACACTGCAATGAATACACATTAATGAAGGATGTGTTTAATATTGCAAAATGTATCAAAAAGAGGATAAAAAAGAAGAAACCGTAATAATTCCTCCAATGTTCCACTCGTCGAAACCACCTATTGAGATATATACGCTAGATATTTATACGTGAATCTTACATATCTCAGCCGCCCCACTGCAAAGAAAGCACGCTAAGCACATTTTTCAAATGATTCATTCTAATTGTCACATATTCCTATCAGGAGTTTTCGGCAAATATTTATTCATTTTGCACGATTGCCAGACGAATCACCATTTATCGTGACGAACTCTGCTCTGTACATTGTCCACTTTACCAATTTCTACTTTGTACGTGGATTTTCACAATTACGAAATGAGCCTCTCCCCTGAAGGAAGGAAGCAGTACAAATTACATTTCACAAAATATAAAGGTAAAAGAGAATTCATATTACATACGGCTAGTGAATGGGATTCTTTATGGTACACCTAATTCTTGTTTTAACAGTCTGGAAAGATCAGGCGCCACATTCGTGTATGAAACAACAGCAGAATCTATCTTATACTCGATGCAAATCCCAAAGCTATCCAGCCTCCGTATATTGGACAATACGACTAAGAACCTAGCCATAAGGAGTATTATTAACAACTTCCCCTGGATATTATACCTCGTATGTCCATTCTGCAACATAACCAATATCAACGCATATGAATAATACATTCACTCATAAAATTAATTATGCACTTTTAACTTTATTCATATATCCCCGGAAATGTATGCCACTCTAACCTGAATATAAATAACAGGTGTTTTACAGTTGTCAGGACATTATTCAAAACGCTCTGTCATTCCAGATAACGTACATACAAATATTTCATTCTAAACAGGAAAGTAATGACTGTCATCGAGACCTAATATATGACATATGAGAAAAGAATTAACGAATAAAGTTCAGATGAACTTCTGGAGGAACTCACTGGTGTTTTATGAGGGCATGACCATCTTGATGGTTACACCGCTTTATTCAGATATTACCATGAATTCAATACATCCCATGAGAAACATTCCATGTTGGCTTAAGATTCCTCAACTTATATTTTCTCACCATACGAGAGCAATGCTATAATATCTATTGTCCACTGTAAGGTTCATACAATTACGAGAACTTTCAATGAAATCCTGATTCAGACAAAAATGATTAAGAAGAATCAGCACCTACCTGGAATTTGACCATGGTTTCATGATCCACAGATTTCATTAATGAAATCCAACTGGAAATATAAAAATTTCAGGAATACGTATATGAGGAATTTACCTAATCACTCGGCATCTTCATGAACAATTTGGCTTCAAATAACTCATAAGAAATAATAATAAAGCTTTCGAAAGTTATTTTAGTCACACATAATCGTACTGCATATGCAATGGAGTACGCTTAAAAAAGAATTGTTATATTGCCTAAACAGACATTAAGTGACTTTTCATTTCTGACACAATACGGTTATGTCAGCATTCGTAAATAGATTACAGGATGGAGGCCATAGCGACAATAGCATAAACATTTCTTTCCTTCTATTGTTCCATATACTTCTCATTATTTATACTATTGGTACGATTTTCTCAGGAGAATTTGGCTCCTTACGCGACCACTACTGCATATACAGAGTGCTACACGTTTTCTTCATATGTACACACTCTCAACCTCTTATAATTTAAGAAAAGAAACAAAAGCGTCATAAGGCTTAATAGTTCTTGTTAATAGTTACTTCAACTA